GTGCTACTTCCATATCATGATTGCCACCTGTCCCTTTTCTCTTCCTTCTTTCCAAAGCTCCCGACTTGAGTGAAAACCTCTGCCCCATTATCTAAGAGCTAATCATGCTTAGTTTCCTCTTTTCCGTAACTTGAAATACAAAACCCAGGATTTTGTGTGTGTGTTTGTGTGTGTGTGTGTGTGTGATGCTAGTCAACTTGTCAGGAGTTAATAGTAATAATAATTAATAATATTATTATAAGTAATTATAATTAACTAATAATAACAGTATGGCAGCTTTTAATGGTTGGGGACTGTATCTGTAATTTCATTGATATAATAAAATGGTGACAAAACATCCTCTACCAATGAAGACCAGCACCTGCTCTGCAACCTATAGTCTTAATAAGTTGCCTGGGGCACTGAGAGTTAAGTGATTTGGCCTCTGTCATACAGCTATTCTGTGTCAGAGGAAAACTTGAATTCGGATCTTCTTGACTTCAAAGTCTACTATATAGTCCTTAAAGTTGGCAAAGTGCAAAGTGGTTATCTTACTTGAAATTCACACTCCCATTTTTTATTGAAAGGAACACATCATTCTCCTTGATAACCTAGTGAATGGAGAAATGTTCCTTGGAAGGATACCAGCCTGCCCTTTGATATCCTTTATAATCCCTTGTAGTTCATATCCTCTGAATATGAATTATAGTCCCTTGGGCTTGGTGTACTTGCATACTCTAGGAAGGTCACTGCAATTTTCTCTCTGCTCTCCATACTTGATAGAAGTGAGATTCCACAGACTTTGTCTTTGTTGCTAGTTGCTCCCCAGGAGAACTGCAGGGCAAACAGCCTATGGGGCTGTCATTGTCTTTCCTCGATTTGTTGACACCTTTTTTCCATCTTTTTTTTTTTTGGCAAGTCAGTGGGGTTAAGTGACTTGCTCAGGGTCACACAACTAGTAAATGTCAAGTGTCTGAGGTTGGAATTGAACTCAGGTCCTCCTGACTGCCCCACTTTGTTAACATCTTGACAAGCACATCTAACTTCCTTTGCCCGTGTCTCACTAGTTGCTTAATTTTTCTTACTAACTTGTCTTATTTATCTCTTTTACCAACTTCCTTCTCTTTCTTGTGGAGTTTTCTTTCTCCTTTATGAAAAACTTGATAAACTCTCTTGCTAACTATATCTTTGAACTATTGGCGTACTAATGCTATCAAAATAGGAAATTATTCCTTCTTTGAATGACTTTTCCTCAATGATCCCACACTGGTTTTCTGGATAGGTTATGATAAACTTGTGTGGATACCTGGCGAGAATTAAGAGACACCTGAAGCTTTAGAAATGGACCCCAAATTATAGACTATCCAGGCATTGGCAAGCTGAGGCTGAGAGACATTTTTAGGTAGAACACCATTCTGTGGGCTCCTGAAGTCTTAGATCCCTGTTCAGTAAGGCTGACTCTGCACTTACCAGCTGTGTGACCCTGGGCAAGTCACCTCATCCTGTTTGCCTCAGTTTCCTCATCTGTAAAATAAGCTAGAGATGGAAATGGCAAATCACTGTAGTATCTTTGCCAAGAAAACCCCAAACGGGGTCACAAAGAGTTAGGCACGACTGAAAATGACTGAACAACAATTGAAAGGCTGACTCTGGGGCAGAGTGGTGTGACCTGACTTGAAGAGGTAAAGGGAACCTTTGCCTTACCTCTAGCACCTCTGCCCTAGCCTGAGATGTGATAGATGAGCTGTTGCTCAAAGTTCCCTAAATACTGTTTTCAGCTTGTTCCCTACTCAATGAGTGGTCCTCCTGAGATACTCACAGAAGTGAATGAGGGAAATGCCAGCAATATTTCTGGGCTAAAAGCCAGAAAACAGAACAAAACCCCAAACAGCTGCTGCCCCTGCTGCTTCCTAATCTGTGCAAGTTTTTCAAACCTGAAATTCCAGGGCTACTGCTTGTGTGGCAACTTATTCCTCTCTCTCTCTCTCTCTCTCTCTCTCTCTCTCTCTCTCTCTCTCTCTCTCTCTCTCTCTCTCTCTCTCTCTCTCTCTCTCTCTCTCTCTCTCTCTCTTTCTCTCTCTCTCTCTCTCTCTCTCTGTCTCTGTCTCTGTCTCTGTCTCTCTCTCTCTGTCTCTGTCTCTGTCTCTGTCTCTCTGTGTCTCTGGTTGTCTTTCTCTCCCTCTCTTTCTCTTTCTTTCTCACTCTTTCTCTTCTCTTCCCTACTTCCCTCATCTTCAAACTCCATTAAACTTCCAGTCTTCTCTGAAGCACTGGATTCTCACAGAAGCCTAAAATGTTAGGTTAGGCAGGGACTTTGAGAGATCCTATAGACCAGCTCTCATTCCACAGATGAGGAAACTGGGATCTAGCCAGGTAAAATGACTTGCCCAAGGCCACACAACTAATTAGTGGTAAGCCAAAACAAGAACCCAAGTCTCCTGGCTCACAGTGTAATCCTGTTTTTCCGTGTAATGGGCAGTTCCAAGGCTGCCTCTTCAGAATCACTGTTTTTTATGCCCTCTCATATTTTAGTTTAATAAGAATATAACCAAATCCAAAAATCCTATGCTTTTGTACAATGGTTTTCTCATTTGATTTGCCAGACTGCCCTAGATTATTATCATTATTATTGGCAATAATGATGATATACTTCAATGCCTCAAGACTATGATTTCTCATCAGTATGGATTGTCCCTCAATCACAATCCTCTCTATGTCTTAGTAAAGAGTTTTTATGACCTCAAATAATTCCATTACCTGGTGGTTCACTTTCTGGTGATGACCTCCCCCAATTTGGCAAGGTTAATTTTCAGACAACGCATATACTGGGCCTTAGTTCTTCATCTATAAAATGGGAGCTTTGAACTAGATAACATCTAAAGTCCCCTTGAATACTAAATCTATGATTCTATAATCACTGAGCTCTTACTCAAAGCTTTTCCTTGGTAGGACCCACCAGAGTTTTAATTCTACAGGCATAAATCTTCAAGAATTCAGAATCACCTCCATGTCATGATGGGGCATTTTTGGAAGATTTAGTGAAGTAATAACAATCTGAACTTTTTGTAGCTCTTTTAACTTTCCCAAAGACCTTTGCATCTATTATCTCCTTCATAGCAGAGACTGTGATATATTTTAGCATCAAGCACAATTCCTTGCATATAGTAGATGCTTCATATATATTTGTTGAATTATCTTTCTTTGTAACTCCTATCTTACCAAGCACAGTAACTTGCATGTAGAAAGTACACATATAGACTTAAACTTTCATATCCTTTAATTCAGACATTCCATGATTAGCCATATATACCAAGGATGTCAGAAAGATTCCATATAAATCAAATTGGGCTATAAATCAAAATATTCACAGCAAATTTTGGAGGCAAAGTCAATGACCATCAATTGGAATATGGCTAAACAAAATTTCCTATGTGATAATAACAGAATATTTTATGCTATCAGAAAAAAGCAATATGAACATGCCAACAAAGCATGAGAAAACATATGAACTGATATAGAGTCAAGGAAAACAATATGCACAGTTCCTGTAACAATAGAAATGAAGAACAAAACTAAAAACCAAATCCAGTGAAATTGAAGTAACTGTGTTTGGCCCTAAAGAAAAAGTTATAAAAATGAATCTTCTTTGCAGATACAGGGAATTATGTATGTGGAACTTGGCATCTGCTGTCAGACATTGTTAATATGTTGGTTGGTTTTGCTAAACTGCTTCCCATCCTTTCTTTTTAGATCTTTGTTACAAGCCATGACTTATTGGATAGGAGAGGGATATATTTGGAATGAAAATAATGTAAAAACAAAGGATAGACATAACAATAAGAGGAAGAAAGGTTCATGTATTAAAAAAAACCTTATATTCATATAGGGCTTCAAAGTCTACAAAGTACTTGCCTCATAACTACTTAATGACATGATACAAATATTATTCCTAGGTAAGGAAACAGAGGCTCTTTGAAGTTAAGTACATAGCTATACAAAGGATTATTCTTACGGAAATAGTCTAGTTCTTGATGAAATATCCAATTTTCACTCCACAATGGTATTTCCTAAGGAATGTGATCCGATGAAGGGGTTGATTAAAACCGACCTTGTGTATTCCTTCCTCTCAGCAGCTGGAAAGGTCTATATGGGCCAGTTGGGATTGCCTGGCTCTAGAGTCCTTCCATCTCTCATCTGGCTTTGGGATTTGGGGTTGCTATCATTCCCTTTGATACTTCTGTAAAGATTTGGTAAACAAACTTGCTTTCAAGCTTGCCCCTCTTTGCAGAACCATTTATTTAGTGGAGGAGATGCTACCAAGCATTAAATGGAATAGCAGATTAGTGGCACCATGCAGAGATTTTGGCATTGAGGCAACAGAAATTTCTGTCTGGACAATTTGTCCCCCCCAGTAGTTCTGCTGGGATCCTGAAGGTAGAGAGGCCTGAAGCTGGGAAGCAGAAGACTGAATAAGGACATCTAGGATTTTGACCCAAATCATTTGCCCTACCCTGGCAGTCACCTAGGCATACCCAAGCCTATAGGGGCTCCTGTTCTTGGACTAGCAGTGAGTGCTACTGCAATAGGGGAAGGTAGTGAGGGGATGGGAAAACCTTCTAGCCCAATTAAGACCCCAGTCCACTCTTACTACCCAGGAGCTCCATTGGGTTTTTTAGGGGTTCACAATGGCTGAAAGTCATGCCCAGGGTCTCCCTTGGTGGAAGTATGGGACAATGATAAGATTGTTGGATTTAGAGTTAAAAGACCTGTGTTTGAATTCTGGCTCTTCCACATATGATTTGTGTAAGGCCTCAGTATCTTCATCGATAAAATGAAGAGACTGGGCCGCATGATTTGTGCCTTTTCGCCATTTCTACATCTGTGGTCTTATGATCCTTTCACTTAGAAGCAGGGATTTGGACGGGTTGTGGTGGTGGTAGGGTGTCTCTGAAGTCCTTTACTACACAACTACGTATCATTAGCATCAAACCTGTTCTTTTCTCTGTGTTTGCTCCTCCTAGATCCTGTGTGGCCGGGAGATACCTCGTTGGGTGAACCGCCTGGCCTACTTCAGCTCATGCATCCCTTTTCTACAGAGCTGTCTCCCTAAGGAATGGCTAACCCCAGCAGCCCTGCAGACCCATATAGGCCTTGGTCTACGCAAAGAAGAGTCAGGCAGCCCAGCAGACGAGGAGGTCCCCTCCACCTCAGGCGCGTCGAGGACCTGCAAACACACCCGGGTCTGAGCTGGGCCCTGCCATCCTCCTCCACCTTGCATACTCTCTTCTTTTAGCCACCTGCCTCACTCTTCTACCTTTGACTTCTTCTATCCCTTCTCATCCTCCTTTTCCTTTTCCTGTTCTACTCCACGGAGGCTGGGGTGTTCCTAGCCTCTAGCCTTCTTACTGACAAGAAACTGAACCACCTCACTGTTCCTTTGGGCCACTGAAACCTCCAGTACAGCACCAACATCACATGTGGATGAATGCGGAAGGGCTCCTTCCAAACTGTTAGACTCTGTGGGACACAGGATTGGGGGACTGAGCTGTCTTTGAGCTCTCTCCACCTCAGAAGAGTTGTTCTTATTCTATAGTGTTCCTGGACAATCTACCTTACCCCCTCCTTGACACAGCTTTACTGTCCCCAGCTATCAAAGGAGGGGAGAGAAGCTATTCGGGGCAATGTTTCCATCAGACCAGCAGCAACAGCCCCTCTCCCCAAGCATTCTCCCATTTGGGGGAATCAAGGATTTTCTGAGGCATTTGGATTACAGGGTGACATTCTCCAGTTTTTCCACTGGAGGATGTATGTATGTTTGTGTTTATTTTAGGTGGTGTTTTATATTAAAAAATCAAAGGACTTCACTAACAAAGACAGCAGAGAGAGGTTTGTTTGGGGGATGGAGGAGTAGAATTAGGATAGGGAAGGAAGAGGGTTAAGCATATGAATGAAATTGATAAAGAAACCTTTTAAAAATGAGATAAAACAATTTCTGGGGTCTGTCCTTAAGCCCTTGTGGACTGCACAACACTGTAAGGCAACTAAAGGTAGCACTCTTTCCCCTGATGGCTGACTTCCTCCAATACCTGACCCCAATAGGAAAAATGAAAAACAGTCAAGAGTTCTCTCTTCAGTTCTCCTTTTCCTTTTTATCTATGACTTGACTCTCACTCTTCACTGGGCTAAGGCAATATTCCTAGGAGCTCTGTATGAATTTCTAAGTGTGAGAGCCCAGAGGATATTTGATGGGAGGAATGCAGGGCCAGAAAGATCTGCTTCCAGCAACTCTTCAGTCACAACCAATTGAGGATCCTCCTTAGGTTTCTCCAGAGGACTCCTTGCTCTGCAGGAGATCAGCCCCATACTTCTCCTAAGCCCTGTGGGCTCTGTGCTTGTATTAGGGGACAAAACAATCACGTGGTCATGGAATGTCATGACTGGAAGAGACCTTAGAGATAATAGTCCAACCGTAAGATTTTACAGATGAAATGACCTATTTTCAGTCACGTGGCTAATTAACAACAATGACAAGACTAGAGCCCAGGTTACTTAACTCTCAATTGGAAATGACCCCTCCATTCACCGTAGGTTTAGAAAGTAGGGTAGGGAGGAATTAGTTTTCTTCTGAAGTTGATACCATCTGGTAGTGAGTGTGTGTCTACGTATGTGTATCTGTGTGTCTGTGTATGTATATGTGTATGTATAAAGAGGAATAGGTGAATGGTCATATGATTAATGCCCATGCATGGATTAGGAACAAAGTAAACGTCACATCTGTGTGAACATGAATGGTTGTAAGCACATGCAGCATGGTGAGTTCAGAAGGATATCTGTTTATTCATGCATTCTTTGAGTATGTGTGCTTAGGAGGACACTAGCAAAGGCTACTTTCAGAAGTACCTGTTTCCCTAAGAACTATTGTGGTCAGCACCCCTTCTCCTTTCTCAAAGAAAGCAAATGGAGGGCTCTGGTAGCCTTTGACATTACATTATCCCTCTATCAAAACTGAAAACAATGGAGCCTGGGAGATGTGAAGACATAGGATTCAAGTCAATTACCATTTGACATGAGATAGTTGATCTCTAAATGGCTTTTGGAGGGGTTAATACCAATGACAAAGTCTCCTCATATTCTCTATATATTGGGTGAAGCTTATGTGTCAAGAATGATCCGTTCACCTCTCCTAAGGAGCTTCATTCCTTAATTAGGAGGGCTAGAGTCTTGGAATCCTATTGGTTTCAGTTTAAGAGCTGTGCGCGCACACGCGCGCGCATGTGTATGTGTGTGTGTGTGTGTGTGTGTGTGTGTGTGTTTAAAGTCAATTTCTTGACTCTGTCATTCATTTCTCTTACTCCACAATGTGAATACACATTTTCTTTCCAGTGTTGGTTCATCTGGTAGATAACAGAAAAAATGTAATAAGAAGCACTAGATCCACCTTTCTGACTCTTGACAAGACAAATAGACTGGCACAGAATCTGGGTGGCTCTTTCTGAGACTCTGCCAGATTGACTCACTTTCCTGATAGAAGTCATGGGTTTCTGTTCCAAGAAAAGTTGAATTGCTACAATGAGGAGAAATGCCATGGCTGAGCCAGGCTTTTTATCGTTTTATCTAGAAATGGGACTTAACCCAAATATAATTCATTCGTAAAATAAATGAAAAATAAAACAAAATGAATTGGAAAGGCAGTCTCTGTGGCTCACCATTATTTGCAGTGGAATTGCACGCATCACACAGCACCACCATATTGATGTTTTCATGCTCTTCTCAATTTCTTATCCAGTCCCTCTGATAGCCAGAGGGAGCATTCACACATCAGGCACCTGGTCTCCTTGCTCTAACAGCACTGATGGTGCATTGTGCTGATATGAGTCAGATCCATCCACAGAATCAAACCAAAACATTTGTTCAACCTGGGCAGTTTTATGGATAACTCAACCCCCACATCTTTTTCACATGGAATTCTGTCTTAGACTCTGCCTCCCCAACCTGATCCTATACTTATAGTTTTCTACACGAAATGCAGGGCTTTATATCTGTTCCTATTAAAGTTCACTTTGCCAGTTTGGACATGTTGTTTCTGCCTGTTAAGGTGCCCAGAAAACACATTCAATGAAGAAGGGCTAAAGGAGTTAGGATTATGTAACCTGGAGAAGAGAAGGCTGAGAGGTGTCAATCATTGAAATCAAATTTATGAACGATTTATGAGGAAGACACCAAGTCTGTGGATGGCCAAATAATAGGAAATGGGACTAAATTAAGACCAAAAAAGATTTGATCCTAAAGAAATGACAGAACCATAGGCAATTACACCTTGAAGAGACATTGGAGATCATACAGTCACAGAATCATATGGTCAAGAGATGCTTGAGAGGTAGTTTAGTCCAATTAGAATCTAAATAGGGGCAGCTGGGTGGCAAGTGGCTAGAGTGCCATGGATAGAGTCAGGAAGATTCATCTTCCCGAGTTAAAATCTGGCCTCAGAAACCACCTATGTGACCTTGGGGAAGTCACTCAACCCAGTTTACCTTTTTACACTTCCCTTGAGTCTTGGATTTGAAAGTCAAATTTTCTATTGAGCTCTGGACTTTTCTTCAGGAATACTTGAAAGTCCTCAATTTCTTTGAATGTACATTTTCCCCCTGACGAATTAAACTCAGTTTGGTTGGATATGTGATCCTTGGTGGTAATCCTAGCTCAGGGATGGAGAACCTGCGGCCTCAAGGCCACATGTGGTCTTGTTCACTTGTTCTGTGAAGTCTGGACTCAGTCAAAGGGCTGCCCTTGAAGACCTAGAGGGCCACATGTAGCTTTGAGGCTACAGGTTCCCCACCCCTGTAGCTCCTTTGCCCTCCAGAATATCATATTCTAAGCCATCTGATCCTTTTATGTGGAAGCTGCTAAATCTTGTGTTATCCTGACTATGGCTCCATGTTATTTGAATTGTTTCTTCCTGGCTGCTTGCAATATTTTCTCTTTGACTTGGGAGCTCTGGAATTTGGCTACAATTTTTCATTTTGGGATCTCTTTCAGGAGGTGATCAGTGGATTCTTTCAATATCTATTTTACCCTCTGGTTCTAGGATATCAGGGCAATTTTCTTTGAAAAAAATTTTTTTTTTGCTTTTTGATGAGGCAGTCAGGGTTAAGTGACTTGCCCAGGGTCACACACCTAGTAAGTGTCATGTGTCTGAGTCTGGATTTGAACTCAGGACCTCCTGACTCCAAGGCTGGAGCACTGTCTACTGCACCACCTCACTGCCCCTCCTTGATAATTTCTTGAAAGATGATGTCTAGGCTCTTTTTTTGCTCATGGCTTTCAAGTAATCCAATAATTCTTAAATTATCTCTCCTTGATCTGTTTTCCAGATCAGTTGTTTTTCCAATGAGATATTTCACATTTTCTTCTATTTTTTTATTCTTTTGATTTTGTTTTACTGCTTCTTAGAATTATTAGCTTTCACTTGCCCAATTCTAATTTTTAAAGAATTACTGAGATTTCTTGCCTCCTTTTCCATTTGGTCAATTCTACTTTTTTTTTATTCTGAAAAGTTTTTTTAAAAAATATTTTTAATTTCAAGTTTTGAATTCCAAATTCTATCCCTCCCCTCCCCTCTCCCTGAGATGGTAAGCAATCAGATATAGGTTATACATGTGCAATTATGTGAAACATTTCCATGTTAGTCATTTTATACAAGAAGACTTGAATAAAAGAAGAACAATGAAAGAAAGAAAGTGAAAAATAGCATGCTTCAGTCTGTATTCAAACAATATCAGTTCTTTCTCTGAAGGTGGATAGTATGCTTCATCATTCATAATTCTGTACTGTACAATATTGCTGTTACTGTGTACAATGTTCTCCTGATTCTGTTTGCTTCACTATGTATCAGTTCATGTCTTTCCAGATTTTTCTGAAATCATTCCGCTTGTCATTTCTTACAGCACAATAATATTCCATTGCAATCATATACCACAGCTTGTATAGTCATTCCCCAATTGATAGGCATCCCTTTGATTTCCAATTCTTAGCCACCACAAAAAGAGCTGCCATAAATATTTTTGCACAAATAGGTCCTTTTCCCTTTTTTTGTTGTCTTTGAGATATAGACCTAGCAGTGGTATTGCTGGATCAAAGATTATGCACAATTTTATAGCCCTTTGGGCATAGTTTCAAATTGCTCTCCAGAATGGTTGGATCAGTTCACAATTCCACCAATACTGCATTAGTGTCCTAGATTTCTTACATCCCCTCCAACATGGAACATTTTCCTTTTTTGTCATATTAGCCACTCTGAGAGGTGTGAGGTGGTACTACAAGGTTGTTTTAATTTGCATTTCTCTATCAATAGTGATTTAGAACATTTTTTATGTGACTATAGAGAGCTTCGATTTCTTTGAAAGCTACCTGCTCATATCCTTTGATCATTTATCAATTGGGGACTTATATTTTTGTATTTTATTTTTGACTCGCTTCTCTACATATTTGAGAAATGAGGCCTTTATCAAAGTTATTTGTTGCAAAATTTCCCTTCTCATCCAGTTTTGTTTTCCTTTATAATTTTCATTGCATTGATTTTTGTGCAAAAACTTTTTAATTTTTATATAATCAAAATTAACTATTTTATATTTTGTAATGCTCTCTGTATCTTCTTTGGTCCTAAATTCGTCCCTTATCCATAAATATGCTTTCTTAATTTGTTTGTGGTATCACCCTTTACATGCAAATCATGTATCCGTTTTGACATTATCTCAGTATATGGTGTGAGATGATGGTCTCTACCTAGTTTCTGCCAACCTTTTTCCAGTTTTCCCAGCAGCTTTTGTTAAATGATGAGTTTTTGTTCCAAAAGCTTTATCATATACTAGATTACTATGGTCATTTACCGTAATGTAATCTGTATATCTTTTCCCATGCTATTGACTCTTTTTTTCATGGTCCTCTCATGTTATTCTCATTTCTTTCCCCAGTTTTTCTTCTACTTTCCTAATTTGCTTTTTTAAATCCTTTTTAAGCTCTTCCAGGAATTCTTTTTGGACCTGAGACCAAATGACTTTTTTTTTGAGGCTTTACATCTAGCCATTTTGACACTATTGTCCTATTCTAAGTTTAGGACTATCACCATAGTAACTGTCTATAGTCAAGCTCTTTCTTGTTTTTTTGTTTGTTTGTTTTTTGCTCATTTTTTCTGCCTTTCTTGTGACTTGGTGTTTTCATGTGAGTATCAGGCTCTGGTTATGCACTGTCTCAAGCTTTTTGTGCTGGTGCTCTGAGTCTTATTCCTGAATTTCACTGGGTTTCAGGGCTTAGCTGCTTGCTTTCTCTGGAGGGTAGGCTTCCCTTCTCACTTGTACTGGGGGGGTGGAATTCCCCCGTTAGCCTCCCCTGGGTGTAAGGTTGCTCCAGGGGTGGGGCCCCACTGCTGGGTTGCTATAGAAACTGGCCCCAGACTAGTAGTTTTGTGGCTGATCTGAGGGGTGGGGCCTTGCTGCTGGGTTGCAATAGAAAGAGGGTCTCTCTGCTGGAAGGCCCCGTGGGAGGGGTCTCACTGTTGGCCAGTCCCAGGGTGGGACTTCACCATTGGTCAGCAATGAGGTCAAGGCACGGCTGGTGGCTTTTGCTGGGGATGGGGTCGCTGGGATGGGGACTTGCATTGATGCACACACTGTTCACTTGCCTGGGGGCTGCTGGTTTGTAGGAGGGTGGGGTCTCACTGCTGGATTGCCCCAGGAGCCTTGCTACAGGCTTCCACCTGTGAGGCTGGCTCCTGCTGCTGCCCCTGGACCTTGCTCCCCTCTCACTCTAGTGAGATAGACCTTTCCTGCAGTGCTGGTAAGCTGCTTCCCTGCTCCTAGAGCAATTCTGAGGCAATTTTCAAGTTGTTTGGAGGGTAATGTGGGACAGCTTCAGAGGGTTCTTTCCTTGCTCTGCTGTCTTGGCACCAGAAATCTCAATTCTACTTTTTTAAGGAATTCTTTCCTTTAGTGAATTTTTGTACATCTTTTTCCATTTGGTCAATTCCACGTTTTAAGGCATTCTTCTCTTCCTTAAATTGTGCCTCTTTTGCCATTTGGCCTATTCTGTTTTTTAAGGTGTTATTTTCTTCAGTATTTTTTGTGTGTGTGTGTGCCTCCTTTACCAAGGTGTTGACTCTTTTTTCATGCCTTTTTTTGCATCACTGTCATTTCTTTTTACTGATTTTTCCTCTGCCTCTCCTATTTGATTTTTAGAATCCTTTTTTAACTTTTCCAGGAATCCTTTTTGGGCCTGAGGCCAATTCACATTTTTCTTTGAGGCTTTGAATGTAGCAGTTTTGACTTTGTTGTCTTCCTAGTGTGCGTTTTGATCTTCCTTGCAACCACAGTTAACTTTCTATGGTCAGGATTTTTTTGTTATTTGCTCATTTTTCTAGCT